GCCTCTACCCAGGGACTCCAATATCCCTTAATGAAGGAATATACCTTAAATCATACTAGGGATCCTACTATAATTTAGGGTATATTCCTTAATTAAGGGATATTGGAGTCCCTGGGAAGACATAGAGACATATACAGGGGGCATTATTCTGGAGTTGTTGGGATTTAGGGTTTGAGGGTTGGACGGCCTAAAGCCGAGACCCTTATAAAGATCCCAAACCCTAAAGATCCTAAGCCGTAGAGATCCTAAATCCTAAAGATCCTAAACCCTCAAGATCCAAACCTTAAAGCTCCTAAACCCTAAAGGAAGTCTTTGAGGTTCTATGGCTTCAAGCTTTGAGTTTCCAGGCGCTCTCGGTTTGGAGATTGACGGTACGGGTGCGACACCCCATGATGATGAAGATTGTGATGGTGGTCATGACAATGTTCCCCTAAACCCTAAACCCTGAACCCTGAACCCTAAACCCTAAACCCTAATCCCTGAACCCTAAACCCTAAACCCTAAACCCTAAACCCTAAGTTACTCGAGGGTTGGCGCTTCCTGAGACCGATCCCCTCTTGGGCCCTCAAGGCATCAGCGCGCTGTGGGAACCCCAGCCCAAAAGCCCAAAAGCCCAAACCCTAAACCCTAACTAGGGGTTTAGGGTTTAGGGTTTAGGGTTGCAGTAAAGGAGACCTACCCTCTGGGGACTTCCTGTGAGATGGGAAAAAGGTGCTCAAAAAAACCTAAACTTGGCCGTAACTGTGTGTATGGTGTTCTTATGTGGTGTGGTACTGACCTGCCTGAGCGAGTGGAACCATCTAGAACCTGGGAGCACATGTGAGTTGCTGTAGTAACGGAGGGTACTCTAGGGGCCTGAATAAGGAGCCTCCAAAACCCTATTCTAGTTATTAAGGCCCCTACATTAGGTGCTGTTTGGTGGAGATGCCCTTTGCTGTTTGGTGGAGATGCCCTTTGCTTGTGGTTTGGTGTGTTCCCATCCCTCAACCAGCTTGGTAGTCTGGAGGCGTAGGGCTAACAGACACGAGGGCATTAAAAGAAGCAAAAACGCGTGGCCGTAAACCTGAACCCTAAACTAAACCCTAAACCCTAACCCTAAGGCCCCGGAAATGGAAGCGGCCGTCAATCTCGCTATGTTTGGATCGGAAACTTTCGTCACACCAAACCGTATGAATCGTCATCAGACGCTACAAACAAAGCCCTTACCCAAAGCCCTAAAACAGGCTAACCCTAAACCCTAAACCCTAAACCCTAAACCCTAAACCCTAAACCCTAAACCCTATCAGACACTTCAAGCCTTCTATGAGCCCTATGGCGGCCGCATGATGAGGGAGCCCCACAGTGCACAGCTAGCCCCTAAACCCTAAAGCCTAAGCCCCTGAACCCTAAACTGTAAACCCCAAACCCCAAACCCCAAACCCCAAACCCTAAACCCTAAAACCCTAAACCCTAAACCCCAAACCCTAAACCCTAAACCCTAGACCCCTAACCCCTAAACCCTAAACCCCAAACCCCAAAACCCTAAACCCTAAACCCCAGCCCTGGCCTGCAAAGGAGGAGTTCCGAACCGCCTTGAGGCCAGTGCAGTTTGGGATTATCAGGTCCTCTAAAATTGTATATACCTTAAACTACCAGGGTTTAGGGTTTAGGGTTTAGGGTTGCTCAGGTCCTCTAGGAGTTTATACAGTGTTTTTTTCGGGTTTTAATAGGAGCTTAATGGGTCTGATATGTTTAGGATTTAGGGTTTGGGGTTTAGGGGTTCTAGTTTGGGATTATCAGGCTCTCAAGGAATTTATATACCTTAAACTACCAACCTTCTTTTTGTAGGTTCTTATTATAAACCCTAATGTGGAGTTTATAGGGACCCTGCCAAAAAGTAGGTTTTGGTAGGTTAGGGTAGTGTTTTGTTTATCGGGTTTCTATAGGAGCTGAATGGGTCTTATGTGTTTAGGATTTAGGGTTTAGAGTTTAGGTTTAGGGTGAGTTTGTGGGATCTTGTCGGGGTTGATTCGACCAACCAGTTCCTGGGTGTTTTGTAGGAGTGATCTGTCATTCTTCCCCAAGCGGTTCACAAAACGGTTTACTGTAGCTGCAGCAGGTCATGCTAATTTGGAATGGAATGTCGAAGTATCCCGCTGTGAGTGGGTAGTCAATGCCGGAGCTTTCGATGCAAGAAGCATTCGTAGGACTCTAAATTAAATTTGCAAGTTCCAAACCCTAAACCCCACATAAACCCTAAACCTTAAGCCTTAAAGCCCTACACCCCAAAGCCAAAGCCCTACACCCCAAACCCAAAGCCCTACACCCCAAACCCTAAACCCTAAACCCTAAACCTGAAGCCTTAAAGCCCTACACCCCAAACCCAAAGCCCTACGGCCCAAACCCTAAACCCTAAACCCTAAACCCTAAACCTTAAGCCTTAAAGCCGTACACCCCAAGCCCAAAGCCCTACGGCCCAAACCCTAGACCCGAGAGTCTGAGACACCACACAACTTTTGAAGCCCTTCGCGGGACAGGAGGATGAATCCAGAAATTTCGGCTTGGGCCTGAGGTATTGGCAGAAGGTTTGGCGTGCAAGCTCAGGAGAAGTGACACTTTCAGAAAAGAGAGGTTAGGGCTCGGTTTGGGTGTAGATGCTTGGGGTTTACGGCATTTCGGGAACCCTAAAGACCTAGCAGGATCCTCTTTTTATCTAGATTTATGGCTTATAACACCCCGAAGTAAGGCGATATATAGGCCTGAGTACTTCGCCATACGATTGCTCAATGTTCCTTATTCTCAGTATAGCATCATATCGCCCGGAGCCCTATTCAAAGTATTAAGCCCCCCTCCCCGTATTGGGTCTTTCTGAAGCTCCCACCAGGAGTTTAAAGCCGCGGGAATCTTAACGGCTCCTTCAAACGAATCCTTCACAGCAAGTCCGCAAGGGAATCCGTTAAAGGAGCCCTTGAGGGAGCGTGCCCAAAAAGAACGCTTACGGGAACCCTCACAAGGAGCACTTCAGGGAACCTTCAAAGGAACCCTTAAAGCAACCCTATAGATCCCGCAAAGCCCAAAGGCTCCATGTACCCATATAGCATATACTTTGGCCCCAAAGTGCCTATATAGGGACTACTGTATAAGGCCGATGTAAATGCCTAAACCCTAAACCCTAAACCCATTATATACTATAACATGATTACATGGACCCTTAAAGAAAGCATCCCCTTACAGCTCCATGATCTGGTCTCAGGGTGCAGGGGAAGGGCTTGACGGTGGATGTCTCCCGGAAAGGGTAGTAGAACACTGTATCACTACTGTTGTCAGTATCATTACTTGTTATTACTTTTGCAAACAATAATATTCCAGTATAATGTTATGTCATTATGTCTTTTAATATATAAACATAGGCTGATAGGCCGAATCTGCAAGAACAATCTGTATGCGGGTCGTCTGAGGAGTCAACCTGCGGCCGGCTCTTTCGTGCAGCCGACGTGTTCTGGCGAAAGGATCGAACTTTTCGAGTATTCCTTCATGGAAGAGTGACCTAGTTTTTGTTCACGTAGTTTTTTCGAAATCGAAAGGACCCGAAGTTAGGGAATCGTCCATGTCCGACACGCAAAAGCTGTAAGTTTTCTGAGCCCTAGCTGCTCCGGCCGAGTCGATTGTTGCGATGGTGCTACGGTTGAATTTAAGGTGTTGCGGGTTTAGGGTTTAGTGTTTTGGTTCCTGTAGCATATAATGGGCCCCAAAACCCTATTCCCGAAACTCTAGAGACCGAAAGGGTTGCGGGTTGTGGGTTTAGGGTTTTAGGGCTTATAGTTTATAGGGCTTTGGGACCCCGAGGCCGAAGCCCTAGCAGTTGAAGCTGTAAAGGCCTAGCACCCGAAGCCTTACTGCAGACCCCTCATCAATACACCCCGCATATCCAAAGGGATTACAGTAGATGACCTGGGAAGCGAGAAGGACAGAAGGACAGAGAGAGAGCGAGAGGCCAAAATCCCGAGAAAGACCCTAAACCTCTGACCCGAAGCCCCAAACCAAAGCACTCCAAAGTCACCAGTTTGTGTGGCAACCTATGTTCTTTTGAAGAGCGATAAAGCAACTCCGCGCCCAGATGAACTTGGATTCCTTCGTTGATGCCAGCGAGTTCTCCAACTTCTTGAAGCTAGGTAGCGCTTGGCTGTTGTCGGACTGGCAGAACCCTAAACCCTAAACCCTAAACCCTAAACCCTAAACCCTAAACCCTAAACCCTAAACCACCTATATGCCTTGCTGTGCAGCTTTCAAGGCTGGGAGGTTCCTTCCTTTTCTTGTATTTGGGCTTGGGCAGGGAATCAGGCGAGCGAAAGTCCCACTGCACCCTCAAAAAACAACTTTAAACCCTAAACCCTAAACCCTAAACCCTAAACCCTAAAACCCTAAACCCTAAAAAAACCCTTGAGCTTTGCGTTTCTTGCTATTCGTCTTCGAGTCCTGGAGGGTTACTGACACAGGATCCCCAGAGACTCCAATATCCCTTAATTAAGGAATACACCTGAAATCATATTAAGGATCCTACTATATTTTAAGGCATATTCCTTAATTGAGGGATATTGGGGTCTCTGGGTCCCTACTATACTTAAGGAATATGCCACAGTCAAAAGTGTCGAGGACTAGCCTCGGTTTCGGGCTTTCAACCATTTCTCCCTATCAGCACATGGCGCACTTAGTTTCCGGAATTACACAAGCGTTGAAGGGTTTTGCATGCATTTTTTTGTTCTGTAACGTGCTTTGCTTTTTGTTGGTGCAAGTCTTCGCAATGCATTGTTGACGCCAGAATCCCATTCCATGGATCCTTCATAAGGTTTAAGGAACCCTAGATCACAGAACACTGAGCCCTGCAAAGCCCTTTGAAATGCTTGTCTTGTGAGTTTGGACGGCTCGTGAATGAAGGACCTCAAACCGCAAACCCCGAACTCTAAACCCTGAGCCCTAAACCCTGAACCTCGTGGTCGCAATGGTCAGACTGGACGGCTGAGGACCAGGGGGACACGGACACGACCTCCACATGGACGTGGCTAAGTTGGCAAGGTTCCTCTGCGACTCCTACATCTTCATGGATGGGCAACCCCTCGTCTACTACCTCTACAAGGCCGCCTTCGTATGTCTCTGAGGAAGATGGGGTGACTTCCAACCCATCGTCTGCCTCCTCTACAAGACCGTCCCCGTCCGTCTCTGTGGAAGATGGGGTGACTTTCACTGGGTGGTTGTCTTGGTCTGCGAGTTCCTCCATTACGACGTCTTCCACTACAGTGATACCAAATGCGGGGCTCTTTCCGGTTGTACGTGAGATAGTGCCACATGAAGAAGGAGATGAAGATGAGGACGACCTGCTGCACCTCATGCAGCTCACAGGCGCGGAAAGGCAGAGTTTGGAGGAGCAGGGTGTACCACAATCGCAGATTCAAAGGATTGAGAACCTGCTCTCCCAAATCCACACTCACCAAGAAGGTGGTACGGGGCCTGAGGCGCGCTGGGCCCTTGCGCGGCTCATCAGACGTATGGAAGATGGACTGGAATCAGTGGAGGCGGCCATCGTGATCATGGCGCGGCGCCTTCGCATCCAAGGTTACCTTCCTATCGTTAGGATCCCACGTACTGAAACACAAAGGTGGAATTTCTTTAGCTGGGTGAGCCAATTCGCCACAATGACCACACGCATTGTGGAGCATCACATGGCTACGCCCCTACGTGGCAGTGAGACACAGGACTCGCCGCAACCGCTGAGGAGCAGTACATCAAGTGTTATGGGATCTCGAGAGCTGGAAGAGACCACGGAGGAGAGGGCGTCTTCTTCCTCAGGTAGACCACAGCCTTCCACATCGAGGAGACGTGGTCGCAGCCGGAGCAGAAGTCCTAGGCTGTCGCCGCATACTGGTAACACGTCCACCGGTGTTGACCTTCCGCCGGGTGAACCGGTGAATGCCAGCCAACTGCCAGGTATATGGAGAGACCCGCCGCTGGTAGACCTCCGTGCGGACGAGTCCCTGTTCGGTGGCGCCAGCGGTTCCGGACCGAGTATGCCGTTCTCTTCGAGTATGCCGTTCTCTTCGTCGACCAGTACCACAACGTTGGAACAGTGCGTTTCGGCGACAGCGTGCCCGACGGCTACCGCGGGAAGCCCCTTGTTGGGGAGTGAGGCAGACGCTTTCTGTGGAGTGACTACTTCGTCTTGGTTCATGTCTGTCCCTCTACATGGCTGCATCGAACTTGGTCAATCTGGGCAAGAAACAACGGGGGGTGTGAAATGGCACATTCGCTCCTACAGGTGGGTCTGATCACCATGGATGCCATGACAGGGCCCTCTCCCGTCTGCACCTTGACGACAACTACGACCTTCCCTGGGGTGAACTGTGTCGCTATGTCTTCGACCACTACCACGACGTCACGGGTACCTTCCACGGATGAGATGGTCCGGGACGCCGTCAACTCGGAAATGCGCCATGCAGGGAGTGCGGACACTGTGGATGTGCTACGTCGTTTGCAAGATCGGCAGCGCCAACTACGTCGCTGTATGGGCCTGGTGGATACGGCCATGGAAGAATGTCTGGGATGGCTTCGTCGGGGTGGACAGGCCATCCCTTTCAATGCCCCGGCCATAGATAGGAGGCTATGGGAAGTCATCGACCGTGAAGCTCGCCGTGGATCGCGCCCTCTGTCACCTCGCAGCTTGGGATTGGTGGAACCACAGGCAGTACTTCTCCAACCGCTGCTACCTCGGAACCTCGATGACCTTGAACGTAGTCTGCCAGGGGTGGAACCACAAACGATCGCGGGCTATCGACGTCGTGCATGGCGTGCACATATCGATGCACTGTATGGGAGAGCTGGACGAGAGACACCGCGGGGACGCTGGCCTGATGAACATGATCGTGACCTTTACTTGTTACAGATGCATGAAGAACAGGTGATTGTCAACTACCCACGTACTGAACAATGGCCAGAGGACCCTACGCGAGATCGACTGGTACATGGAGTAGCCAACCGTCGTCGTCTACAACGGGCCCGCCGTCCTGCTCGTTATGATGATCAGGTTGAAGTTGACCGACATGTTTCGGTGGGTGGTATGGGCTCTGGAGGCGTCGGTGTCGTTCGTAGTGATGAAGGGAATGAAGGTCGTGAACCAGGGCAAAGTAGCAACAGTATGGCCAGGGTTGAACGCAGCCGTAGTCGCGACGATCGGGGAAGAGACGAGTCGGCGGAAGAGGTTGACTAAGGTACCTGCTCTACGAGGACTTGTGAGAGGCTGAAGGACGGTGTAAGCCTCAACAGAGGCAGGCCAGATCGCCCGAAAAGGCCACTGCACCTTAAAAAAAAAAAAACCCTGAACCCTAAACCCTAAACCCTCAAGACTAAACCCTAAAAAACCCTAAACCCTAAACCCTAATCCTCTAGAGCCTTGCGAGTTCGAAGCTAAGGAAGATCGCCGCCATGACCCTGGACCCATTGAAGGAGTCCGATCCTCGCACGTTTCAACAAATCCGAGCTGCCGCCTCTGGCGAGGATGGCTACAGATACAAAGCAAGTAAGTTTCAATCTACACACACATATATATATATACACACGTATGTACTTATGTATGTATGAAAGTATGTAAGTATGTAAGTATGTATGTATGTATGTATGTATGTATGTAGGTATGGTATCTACACCAAATTGCTGTGGTTGCTGGGGTGCTGCTACTACTGGCCATTCATGCTTCCGGCGATTTCTTCGGCTGATGCAGCTGTGACTTTTGCTGAGGTTGGGTTGTTGCCACTGGTGCTTCTGCTGTCGTCACTGCTGTTGGGACTGGTTCTGCAGCCCTAAACCCTAAACCCCTAAACCCCTGAACCCTGGCTCGTACCATGCTTGACCGCAACCGATGACAGCAGCGCA